GAGGGGTGGGGGAAGGTGTTGTAAGATGTGGTTGTTATGTCTCACTGTGCTACTGAGGTGAATGGTAACAAATTAAATTGATTTTTCTTCCCCAAGTTGAGTCTGTTTTGCCCATGACCATAACTGGTAAATGAGCCATCCCTGTCCTCATCCTAATCTGTGCCCCCTTTGTTGTGATTCCCTTCCTGTCTCACCTGGTGAGACGAGTGAGTGCAGGACCACATGGTCCCACTGTGGGTCGAACCACTGCAGTGCATCAGTAAACTATTAGACTGACTGACCTTGGAGAAGTATCAGAAGTTGTAGCATTAGTTTAACCCCAGTATTTATGCAAATAGATATGGGTGGTGAAAACAGTAATTTTCTTTAAGGCGGGAGAAAGGAATTTGCTGGCGGTATTCTGTCTCTCACAGACATTTCTATTACACTGATTAATGGTGGTAGGAAGATTTATCCGCGTTTATGACTCTTGTCTCAGAAGGCCAGTGACTGAGTTAGGCAGTTTTACAATAAAACAAGCTGTAGGAAGGAAGTCACTAAAAATTGCTCAGTAATAATTGGGTTTGGTTTATTTTTGTTTTTGTTTTCAGTGAAGGGAGCAATCTCACCCCGGCTCATCATTACCCTGACTTCAGATTTAAGACATACGCACCTCTTGCCTTCCGCTATTTCAGAGAACTTTTTGGTATCAAGCCTGATGATTACTTGGTAAGAGCTTGCAGTTTTCCTCTGAGTTACAAATTATTGTAATGTATGCTGTTTCATAGTGACAGAAAATGACAATTTAACAGTCCCCAAATGGGTAGTAAATTTTGTCTATGGAGTGGTTTATAACTAATGAATATTTTTAGTATTTTACAAAAATTTTAATTCTTCATCTTTGAGACAATTCCTATAAAAACCTGCTAATTAATTGGCTAAAGTATTTTGTTACTGCTCATTCAGGTCACTGTTTCTAGTGAAGTTATAATCAGTGCTTGTGTGACTTCTACCAATTCCATTCTAATAAAGTGCTCTTCTGTTACTTGTGTTATTTATTCACTTCATTAAAGAAACATTTGCTTGCAAATGTTCCCATCTAGCCTTGAGAAAAGTGGGTGGCAGGCTCAAAAATAATCAGTTTAGAGCATCTCCTTTGTTCTCTGCATTTTATAGTTTGAGGACTTATTCCTTCTCAGTATTCAACTGTGTACATGCAAAAAATGTGATGCATTTGCTGCCATCATAAAAGCAGGCTTTACTTGGTAGAACCACTTTGTGCACTGCCAGGGATGAGGATCCACTATTCTACTTCTCCTGTAGTTCTGCTTTTTGAAGGGTAGTGTGAAAGCAAAAAGCTGGATTACTTTCTAGATGTTTGTCTCATGTCTGGTTTGTCTCATGCCAGTCCACCCACCAAAACAGAGTCCCAGTACAAATTATCAAATTTGCATGTCAGAGTTTTGCTGTTAGCTTCTTTTGAATGATCTTTTTGTTCCATTAATAGTAACTGTTTCTTTAAAACCAAAAGAGTCTGAAAGTTTGAATGAACAGAAAAGAAAAATTGATTAAATGATGCTGAAACATTACTTAATATATTACTTCACTAACTTCTGTTGTGTTCAAGGTGTTACGAGAGTTTTTTTCCCTTCTTGGTTAATAAGCCTAAAAGCAAAACTTATTGGGTTTTGCTTTTATTTAGGTTGAATGCAGGTGTATGATTTTAATCCTTTAGTAATAGGTATGGATTTTGTATTATTAGCCCTCATGCCAATAGCTATATATAAAAACAGATTATTCTTTTGAATTATAGGTGCTAGTAGCAGGGAAGTGCAGTTGGGTTGGAGTTTGATAAAGGTGTCATTATCTAATGTGTTGTGTATCTATCTCCTTTTATGGACCTTGTGAAAGATGACGTATTCAGACTGTGTTTCCAGCTGCTAAAAAGACCGTACTTCCTAGAGTAAAGCTATCATCACCTGCAACTTCTGTTCTATCTGTGGAAGCATTTGCAGTATCATAAAGATTATACCACCATAGAACCACAGAATGGTTTGGGTTGGAAGGGACCTTTCAAGGTCATCTAGTCCAATCCCCCTGCAATGAGCAGGGACATCTTCGACTAGAACAAGTCGCTCAGAGCCCCATCCAGCCTGCCCTTGAATGTTTCCAGGGATGGGGCTTCTACCACCTCTCTGGGAGTGTTTCACCACCCTCCTTGTAAAAAATGTATTCCTTCTATCTTGTCTAAATTTTCCCTCTTTTAGTTTATAACCACTAGCCCTTGTTCTATCACTACAGGGCCTGCTAAAAGGTCTGTCTCCATCTTTCTCATAAACCCCCTTTAAATATTGAAAGACTGCTTGCTGATGATGAGGTTTTGGTACATAGTTTAGCTACAAAATCACAGCATCACTGAGGGAAACTCCCAGTAAACTTGTTGCAGATTATTTTTCCTCTTGGCACAGCAAAAGACACTAATGATATGTTTCCAAGAGAGAGGGAAAAGCAGAAAAGCTAGTTTAAAGATTAAGTGCACCTTCTTTTCTTGAAAATGCAAAAGCAAATTTCCTTTAACAATAAGGTATTTTTGTGAAATATGGTTTGAATTTCAGTGTGTGGTTTGTAACTGATGCATGACTTTGTTAGGGTTATTCTTGCTCTGTAGGCATGTTAGAATCCATTTCTATTGTTTCTGAATCTAACTGGACATCACTTTGCAATCAAAGCAGATTGCAGTCCCTTGCAGTCGAGATGCAGATGTGATCAGAGTGGTACTATGATCATAAAACAAAACTATTTTTAGTTTGGGACCCTTTTATGACCAAAATGTCTGGTTAAGAGTTTGCTTCCAGTAGCATGTGTCAGGGTTCTGACTGAAAAGTCCCCATTGTTCCTGTGAGATCTGGATCTGTCATGTAATGACTCTAATTCCAATTCAGTATCTAAAACACTTTACTGTAACAATATGCCAACTAATTGTCCAGCTGTGGCTGAAGGGGAAGTAAAGTAAAAAGAGGAGAAGTTACAGCAAGCATATGCAAGTTTATGCTGTTAATTTGCACTGACAGTCCCAAAGATTTACAGTTTCCCCTTTTCCAAGGAAGTTGAGCGGTAATGCACTGTAGTAGTCAGACTGTATAATGAAGGTAAATACATTTGAAGAGCTGGTAGAATTAAATTGTCACTGGAAACCTCATGGAGTACTGACATTTTGCTGTACTTAATTGTCAGGGTTTGGAGATTTTCTTATTTTTTCAGTTTTGATTTGGCTTTCATAAGTGTTCAGTCAAAATTAGCTGGGCTCTTTGTATAGCTACACTTGGTGGGTAGCCTTATTTTATAGGAATGAACTCAACTGTAAAATGACCAACACACAGTGTAGGTTAATAATTCATGCTTATGCTATGCCATTTTATTGAGCTATATTGTTTAGGATAATTGGTTTCAGATGCTTACAACAATGACAATTACTCATGAAGCTTCATATATCTTGGCAAGAAAAATGCAAGGAGTGCAATACAACTGATTTGCTCTGGAGGTCTATAGTGTTACAGACCAGTATTGCTGTTCTATCTGTAGACAACTGCAACTATAGGATTAACAAGAAAAGTCTCTCATATTAATTAGAACTAAGTGAACTTGAGAAGCAGGGAGAGAAACAGGAAATACTTTTATAGCATGCAAAAGTCTCTTTAAAAATTACAAGTATGGGAAAAGCCTCAGCTGGACCGAGGTTAAAAAAATGCATTAAGGCAATGACTTGAGTCCACAGGAAGCATGATTCTTTAGTTCAGGTGCTCACAAAAGAACATATGTATTAGATTTTCTTGTATCACTTTTTTTTGCTATCTCCACTTGCTGAAATCAATGGCAGGATTCCAGTTAAATTTAATGAAGCTGTTTTCAGCAAAGAAAACGAGTTTTTTTTTGTGGAATTGCTCAACTCATCTCAGGCAATGAGTCAGTAAACCAGATATTTGTTACTGAAACAGTTATTTATTTTGTTCTGAGAAGACCAGAAGACATACTGCATTGCTAAGAATAATTCCCTAGTGTTTACACTACTCACGGTTCACATCCTCTGTAATTTTGTTTCTTTCAAAGACTGAAGCCTTAAAATACTGGACTGTACAGTAGATTTCCAAGTGTGTAAAACTGATGATACATAACAATGGAAAAGAGTGTGTAAATGAAACTTTAATAATATTGTATTTTAGATGAGCTCTCAAGTTTAATATAAACAGATTTTCTATGTTTTTGATCTTAATGTCTTGTCTGCATTTAGTTTGAATGAAGCATGAAGTGTGAATTAATGGAGATTAATAAATGTACATTAGCCTCTGTGTGAGATCTGGTTCTACTAGTAAGGAGTACTCCTTTATGTCTTTTTCCTCCTTAACATGATGGTAATTATTTCTGTCTCCCTGTGGAAGAGAAAGACTGTCTAAGCATCCAAAACAAAGATCCTCCAAAACCCAATTTTTCCTAGGTATACTGGTATTTAGTTTTTCCTGTTTCCAGCAGTTTTCAATCAGAAGACTGTACTGAGATTACTATTCTAATGGTTTCAATCCCACTTTCACAGAAGAGGACTTGCTTATTTGTTTATAGTGAAAAACCTGTACTCTCAGTGGGCTTTTCTAACATCTCCCTGTAGCTGTTTCATAAATGGCTATGAAAAGCAAACAGTTGCAGCAAAAACGTCATCTTAAGGTTTCTGACTCAAGAATTTGCAATGCCAACAATGTGGGGATGGACTCTCTCCACCTCAACCACTCGTTCCACTCCAGGGAAGGTCCAGCTGGTGGGGTGGGATGTGAAGAGGGACCTTAGACTCAGCTGCTAAGTGCTCTTCCATGGTTATGCAGTGTGTCCTGGTCAGAATGGAGTGTAACAACTGGCCTGCTGAATCTCAGCCAAATTACTGTGACCCAGCTTGCTGTACAGCAGTAGACTTGCTGCAGTTGAAGCCTAAAGAATAAGCTCCATGATTCTCCTGTGTCTACTTGAACCTGCAGTTCTTTATTAAACTTGTGTTTGAGTAATGCATGCACTGGCAGTGAAAAACAATTCTTGTCTCTTCCAGTATTCAATCTGCAGTGAGCCTTTGATTGAATTATCCAACCCAGGTGCCAGTGGGTCCTTATTTTTTGTAACTAGTGATGACGAGTTCATCATCAAAACAGTTCAACACAAAGAGGCTGAGTTTCTTCAGAAGCTTTTGCCAGGTTACTATATGGTAAGTAATTGAAGACTGTTTTATCTGTATTTTTCTTGTTTCATGTCACACTTCTGAAGATTCAGTCTCATTTGTTGTCTTTAATCTTTCATTAGCTTTATCCATATTTTTTGTAATATTTTTGAAATTTTTTACCTTTCAACTTTGTGCCCCACACGTCTATCAGAAAGAATATAGTGATATATAAAGATATAAATCAAAGATATATTTAAGATAATAATTGCTGTTCTTTTAGCATTCAGGATGAAGCTGAACGTCATCTTCTAATTTGATACCAAACTTTTCTTCTAATAAGATAGTAACAAAAAAAGGTTTCTAAAGTGCTAATTCAACTTTGTTTTTCTCCATTTTGTTTGTCTACCTTCTTCATTTCACTCAGAGTGGACAAAGAAAATAGACTGGTCATTTTCACTTTTGTTTCTGGACTACTTCTAATTTTCACTTCTCACGTATTAACACAATGATGTAAAAAACTATTTTTATCATATAATTTGTTCAAAACTTAATTTTTAAATGGAGCTTTTTGAGGGCTAATGCTAAGTCAATTACAGTATTGTATGTATGTCAGTCATCAGAAAGGGAAAACGTTGATACAAAGTAAGTAGAACCTAAATTCTCCTTAATTTTTTTAACCAGGAGGCACTCGTACATATGAACAAAGATTCTTCTGGGTGGTATGCAGGACTTTGGATTATTAGACCTGTGACTGACTTTCTTTTCTTTCTTTGCTTTCTTAAGTAAACACTTGAAAAGTCACCCTCTCACTTGTAGTAAAAATGAGGAATATTGTAATTATTACACTAAAGTAACATGCATTCACTGTTTGTTTTAAAAAAATGTGCACTGACAGAATCAAAAAGAACAATGGTGGTAGGTACGTTCGTTGTTGGTGTTTCTAATCATAATAATCAGCTCAGCATAAGTTTGAGTTGTTACAAGTAAATGTAAGGCCACTTTGCTTTGTTTCTGGGAACTTCATTCTCACTGCTGCCATATGCAGAAAGTGTAAAACTTTGATCACTGTAATTAATTCCTATGAAAGTAATTTCTTCCCATATTTTTCTGTTGTGACTTAGTAATCATGTAAGACTTCAGGTAGTTTTTTCTCTTCTTGCTTTTTTGTGCCAAAAACTCAGAGTAATTGTATTCAGAAGGATGATTTTTGCTCTCACCTTTTGTCCTCTCATAGTTAATTTTTTGCCTATAGTGGATTTTGGATTATTTCACACTTTTCTGTTCTGATGGTTGGTCATTGTGTTATGACCTCACACTCCTGTGGAGACAACCTGGTCATTTGGCACTAAACCTCAATGTGAAAAGCCTTATGGAGAAAGGAGTTCTGTTTTTCAGAATCCAAGTCAAGGTAATGAGAGATACATTTGATCCAAACTGCCTCTAACAGATGGAATGCAAAGGTTGTTAAGGTCAGAATAAATAAATTAAATCTTCAGGGTGCTTTTAGGTTTGGCATAGTTTACTCTTTCATGGGATATGAGAAAGGGACACATGGCATAAATGCAGTTACTGCTCTGCTCTTGGCCTAAATAAGTTCCTAGCAAAAAGGCAGTGTTTATGCTGGCTTTCTGAATTACAGACCCAGAAAGAAAATCAACTGGTCAAAGAAACTATACTGAATGGGAAAACATGCACAGTTTTTGTGATGTTTGTTAATGTCTTTTGGTATTAAAATAAGTTTCTTAAGCATGGAATTTTATTGAAAATTGACATATTCAACAATATCTCTTTTGTTTTAGAATCTGAACCAGAATCCAAGGACTCTTCTACCCAAATTTTATGGACTGTACTGCGTTCAGTCAGGAGGCATTAATATTAGAATTGTTGTAATGAACAATGTTTTGCCACGAGCCTTGAAAATGCATTTCACATATGACTTGAAAGGCTCCACGTACAAACGGAGGGCATCAAGAAAAGAGAGGGAGAAGTCCAACCCTACATTCAAAGACTTGGATTTCTTGCAAGACATGCATGAAGGGTTGTATTTTGACTCTGAAACACACAGCGCACTAATGAAAACACTACAGCGGGATTGTCGAGTGAGTAGAAATTATTGCTTATTTAAACTTCTGTGTTGACATCTGTTCTAGATCTACCGTAGCAAAACAGAGAGCTGAACATGGCTCTGTAGGTTGTTTAACCTCCACTCCTTTTTCATGCAATATAATTAGGAAAAACTATGGAAGTCAGAGCACCGATGAAGCCTCTATTTTAGTTAAGCTGTTGGGATCCAAGATCGTGTAATCATAGAATGGAATATCCTGAGTTGGAAGAGATCCATAAGGGTCATTGAGTCAAACTCCTGACTCCGCACAGAGCAATCTGAAAGTTAAACCATGTATCTTAAGAGTGTTGTCCAAATACTTCTTGAACGCCAACAGGCTTGGGGACATGACCACTTCCCTGGGGAACTTGTTCGAGTGCTTGACCACCCTCTAACTGAAGAAATGTTTCCTGATATTCAGTCTGAACTTCCCTGATGGCAGCTTTAAGCCATTCCCTTGCATCCTATCACCAGGCACCTGAGATCAACACCACCCCTTCTGCCCCCCTTCTGAAGAAGGGGTAGACAGCAATGAGGTCATCTCTCTATTTGAAGCTGAACAAACCTAATATCCTCATCCACTCCTCACAAGTCGTGACCTCTAGTCCTTTAACCATCTTTGTTGCCCTCCATTGGACATATTCTGATATTTTTATATCCTTTTTATATTGTGGAGCCCAAAACTGCACACAGTACTCGAGGTGAGGCCACACCAATGCTGAGTATAGTGGGACAATAACTTCTTTCAGCCAGTTAGGTATACTGTGCTTAATGCACCCCAGGATATGGTTGGCCATTTTGGCCACCAGGATACATTGCTGACGCATTGAGCTTACCATCCAGCACAACCCCCAGATGCCTTTCTGCAGGACTGTTCCCCTGTACTCATGGCTGGGTAAAGAACTGGCTGGATGCCAGGTCCAGAGAGTTGTGGTGAATGGAGTTACATGCAGTTGGCAGCCGGTCACTAGCAGTGTTCCCTAAGGATCAGTGCTGGGGCCAGTTCTGTTTAACATCTTTATCAACAATCTGGACAAGGGGATTGAGAGCACCCTCACTAAGTTTGCAGTTGACATCAATTTGGGTGGCAGTGTTGATTTGCTTGAGAATAGGAAAGCTTTGCAGAGGGATCTGGACAGGCTGGATCGATGGGCTGAGGCCAATGGTATGAAGCTCAATAAGGCCAAGTGCTGGGTGCTGTGCCTGGGTCACAACAACCCCCTGCAATGCTACAGGCTTGGGGAGGTGTGGCTGGAGAGCTGCACAGCAGAGAAGGACCTGGGAGTGTTGGCTGACAGCTGGTTGAACATGAGCCAGCAGTGTGCACAGGTGGCTGAGAAGGCCAACTGCATCCTGACCTGTATCAAAAATAGTGTGGCCAGCAGGAGTGATCATCCGTCTCTACTTGGCACTGGTGAGGCACATTGAGTACAGCGTTCAGTTTTGGGTCCTTCACTACAGGAAGGACGTTGAGGTGCTGGAGCAGATCCAAAGAAGGGCAACGAAGCTGGTGAAGGGGCTGGAGAACAAATCTTATGAGGAGCAGCTGAGGGAGCTGAGGTTGTTCAGCCTGGAGAAAAGGAGGCTGAAGGGAGACCTTATTGCTCTCTACAACTACCTGAAAGGAGGTTGTAGAGAGGTGGGAGTTGGCCTCTTCTCCCAGACAGCAAGTGATAGAACAAGAGGAAATGGCCTCACGTTGCACCAGGGGAGGTTTAGGTTGGATATTAGGGACAACTTCTTCACGGAAAGGGTAGTCAAGCGTTGGAACAGGCTGCCCAGGGAGGGGATGGAGTCTTTTTCCCTGGTGGTATTTAAAAGATGGGTAGACAAGGTGCTTAGGGACATGGTTTAGTGGTGGAATTAGTAGTGTTAGGCTTATGGTTGGACTCAATGATCTTAAAGGTCTTTTCCAACCACTATAATTCTGTGATTCTGTTCTATGATTCTATTTGTCTGTACTTACAGGATTACACTGATCCATCTGTGGAAATAGCGATTAATATAGGAAAGTAGTCTAGTAGAGCTTTTTTGTTATTGTTCTTGCTTTCCATTAATTTGGAGATTTTGATTATTTTTTTCTGAGGCACAATAAATAGCCCTGTGGTACCATTGTTACATAGGATAAACTTTACATAGAGCTGCAAGCTCAGTATTCTTCAGTAAGTCTGCCTTTTTGTAAGTTAACAAGAGCTAGGAAGCTTGAGTGAGGGAGGTGTGTCTGGTGGCAGCAAACTCAGTTCTGGAGGAAAGTACTTTCTTCCTCAGCTGAAAGGTAATGCTTAATGTCCACATAACTTTTTCAAGGCGGGAGAAGGATTTATGCCATTGCCCTTTGAGAAGACCTTGGTGAATGGAATCAATGCCACTTGTGGACAGGGAGAATTGTTGTAAAATGGATTTTTTTCTGTAGCAAAGGTAAGAAAATATGAACTAGGAAAAAGAGGAGTTGTCCAGGTCTTTCAGAGTTTCACAAGATTCACAGGGAAATAAGATTGGCTTTATCTGAAGGGAATCCTTGGAATTTCAGGATAAAACAGCAGAATGGGACAGCTGAACTCATCACATAGAAGAGGCATCCTGAACATCAAGAGTTTGTTGTTCGCTGCCACCTGTGGTGCAAGATGGAAAGCGTTGTTATTGCGCATGAATAGTTCTTTTTGTTTATCACAGAAGTCTGCAATGCCTTGTGCTTGGTTTGCAAATCCGGGTGACCTAATGTTCAGCTGCATATTCAGAGTGAGACGTTTATCTAACACCACACATTGTTCTTTCTGTAGCCTCTTGCAGCGAGTATTTTGTGAGCTTCTGCCATGTGTGATAGTGCAGAATGCATCAGTACGTCACATCTGGATGCCCTCTTGTGCATCCCCCGACTTGCTGAACACTACTTACCCAGTCAGAGCCTGGAGGGGTCTATTGTATAGAAAATAACAAACAGAAACTAAAAGAGGGAACTGGACTGAATAATTTTATTGTTACTTATAAAGGAGACTTACTGGTTCTTTGAAAGTATGGTTAAATTCTTGCTATGTGTTATTTGGGTACAGAACTAAACATAAGCTTTTCCAGCGTGTAATCTTAGATTAACAACTCTGAAGTTAGTCTGGAGTTCTTAAAGTCCCAGCTAAATCTTAATATTCTTAAAAGAAGAAAGTTATCTTTAAATAATCAGTGTGTATACACAAATACATATATATACCTTATAGTATAGTATGTGTCTGTATATGCATACACACACTGAACGTTACATGTATATAAAAAAAATTAGACTGGCTTTTTTTATTTTTTCTATTCAAATAAGTCATACTCTGTTATAAAACAAAGGAAGCAGACACTGTTATCTTTCCTGTAGCTGAATTTGCTCAACAAATGAGGTTGGATTTGACTACCTACCTTGTACTACTGCATTTAGAAAGAATAGAAATATTCCATCCATTTTGGGAAAAGGACATTGTTTTTGCCAGTGCTTTTTTTCTGCCCTTATGGTATTTGCATGAGTACTCAGCATGAGTGATAACTGACCTAGGTTTTTAGGGCTTCAAAACTTGTCATCTCTTCTTCCTTTTACTCCAAAGTGAGAAAGTTAGTGTAGGTACTGGAATTAAAAAGTACTGAAAGAAAGGAAATTTTTGATCTTGCAAATATTTCAGGATTAAGAAATTCTCTTCTATGTTGCTTGAATTTGGATTATATTTTCATTGTTCATATTTGCAATCAGAATCAGTAAACAATGTTTTTTTTCCTGCTTCTTTAATAAAAACATCGCCAGCTGATAGCTTCTCTCCTCTTTGAGACTCCTCACTTAAGTGCAGAGGCCTGGGAGAACTTGCTGGTGACAAAAAAAGAAGGTGATGGGGACCTGCTGTGGTCTGTCTGCTGTCATTGTGTGACCCACCCCATTCAGCAATGGGTCCACATTTCCCTTGGTCAGCCTTTTACCACTAATATAGCAGCAGAAGCTCTTTTTGTGTCTTTGACATTCCTTGCACGTCTCAACTCTATCTGAGCTTTGGCTTCCTTGACAATAATTGGCTTCCCTTCATGGCTAGGCAATGTTTCTGAGTTCCTCCTTTATAGCCTGTCTGTCCTCCCCCATCCTTTATGCTCCCTCTTCACATTCAGGCTTCCTTGCTTAGCTGAGCTGGCCTTCTGATACATCTCCTTGGCTGACACAGAGCTCCCTCCCCAGGGAAAGGTAGTAGCGAGTACAGCAGTGGTGAACCACTGCTGGAGTATCAGTTCTTGTCTGTCATACCTTCCTGCAGCTCTGATGAGGAGATGCATGATCTACCCCATTAGAGGATGGAACTGAGGGGCTTGTGGCAATCTGTCATGGTGTGGTGCCTACAGTAGCCACTCCAAATTGTCTACTTTGAGACAGGTACCGATTGAGATTGATAGCGTTCTCCATCTCCCACCCCTGCTTACTTTGATCACACTCAAGGTGACAAGGTCTGAAAGGTCCGCTCACATACCATTTTTTGCTTTCTGCACTTTAGCTAAACCAAGGAGTATAATATTACAGTGTTCCTAAAGGCATAATATTCCTGAGTTTATCATGAATAAAATGCACACAATTGAAAATTTGAACTAGCTTTGAAATTCCAGGCTATTGCTGAGACTCATTATAGCTATCCTATCCTTGCAAACAGGTGTGGTCATAGTTACTGGGGTGGGTGGCAGGGCGTGAAAGACAGGGGACACACTACAGGTAAATGGTACTAAAAATAAATAATTTGACTTGGCTTGAATACCTTTCCTAAAAATCTTTGCTTTGAAGCCTTATTCACTTCATAGTGCTTTAATTTGTGAAGAGCTGTATTTTGTATTTGTAAATACCAAGAGTGTTGGAAGGTAGTTTCAATAGCTGTCATTTATTTTTAGTAATCATGCTGTTAGCTACTCTGATCATTGTATAAAATTACAAATTATGAAAGAACAGAACAGATTCTACAATTTTAAAACAAAGTTAGTCTTACAAATATTAACAGA